ATGCCCCTTAGCTTAGAGAGTTTTTTTAAGTGACAGAGGTGCTGTGAATATGTCCCAGGGACGAATGGTCTGTTTTAGAGACAGCTGTGATCACATCAATAAAAGATGCAGCATCAGTCAGTTACTAAATGACCGTTTAGGCTCTGGGAATAAGTAACAATTAACAAAAACTACTCTCAAGCAAGAGGGAATACTATTCTCTTCAGGAAAGGTGGAAACTTGAAGTTGAGAGCCAAAAATGCCAGTTCATGTGTCCCAAGGGAGCTTTTCCAGAGGAAAAACACAGAAATACTGCCTGTATGGGTGGCACAGAACAGCCCCTGTCTCAGCACAGTGTACCTTTCCACAAGTTTATTTTTTCTGGGATTATTTTGCTACCTACCTCCCAAAGCTTGCTTTGCAGAATCATAGTGCTGTGTAATATACACCTAGAGAGAAAATATAGAGGGTCAGGCTCTTTGCTGGCACGAGCGAGTCAGTGATGACGCTACAACAGTCAGCAGGGGTGGAAAATGGCCCTTTTAGCTAAATATATGAATATATATATATATTTTCCCCAAAGGATAAGCTGGAAATTATAGTGGTATATTCAAGGGGAGCCAAGGGAAAAAAGTGAACATGAATAAAAGGCAGGCACAAAGCCAAGAGGTTTGAACTTAAAGCCACATTTACATGTTAAGCCACGTTTACACACTGAGGCTCCTTTACTGTGACTCCTTTGCCAGCACTGCCAATTCCTGCTGGCATAGGAAGAGGTGCCAGTCCCCAGAAAATTGGGACATCTGAGTGGACGAAGAGGCTGAATGTAGCCACCCCCTCCCCAAGGCAGGGCTGGTGAGTTATTTTGGGAAGGGGCTTGCTGGGATCTGTCTGCAAATTCCTTCTCCTCCTCCTCCACATGCAGTGACTCCTAAAATGCTGCAAGCAGTGGGGAAAGGAGCAGCAGGGCTTCCAGGGTGAAATCTTCGGCTGAAATCTTGGCCTTTCCTGGCTGGTGGGAATGCAGCCCAGACTTCTGTCCAGATGGGAATTCATTCCCTGTGCCCTGAGCTCCAAGCCCGCTCTGTTTGCCTGGCGCCAGCGGCGCTCCTGCAGAGCTCAGCTCTTGCACGAGATGTCAGCGGTGACACAGTGCAGGCTTCAGCTGCTGCTTTGTGAACAGCGAGGGGAACTTGGGATCAGGAATTCCTTACTGGATAAGAAAGGTAGAGGCGTGCAGGAGTGTTGTCACATCCCAGGAGGAGGAGGAAGGTAACCTTCCTCTCTGCTGCATGCCTGCAGGAAGGGGTGTCACATGTGGGGCCCCCCCCATCTCAACTCTATCTGAGTCCTAAATCCCATTTATTCAGGCAAAACTCCCACTGTTTGCAGCGAGGAGTTTTGCCAGAGTAAACACAGCAGCTCTGGGTCTTTGCCCTGCTTTGTTTGCACTGATTGCTCCGAGGGGAAACCCACGCTGGAGCCGTGCATCCCGCCCTTCCCAGTGCTGCCCAATGCACAGCACAAACCTCTCAACTCCTTCAGGGTTTGGGAGGTTCGGGGGGGATCCTGTCCTATCTTTTTCCATCCTATCACCACGTGGGAGCAGCTCAGGAAGACACGTCTGGTGTTCAGGCTTTGTGCCTGGTTGTGCTGCTGTTTTGGCTGAACTGGGGTGCTGGGATGCGGCTCCAAGGAGAGTTTGGGGGGCTCCCATGGGTGTGCTGCAGTTGGGAATTGCTATCCAAGCCTCTCCTTCCGGCTGCTTTGCTTTTATCCGGGTTGGAAGCGCTATGAACCCTCCTGGTTTAGGGCATGCAGCAAATTTGGACAGGATTTAAGACGGGAGCAAACCCCCCTGGGAGCTGGATCAGAGTTTGCTCCGTGCTGGCGGTAATTTGGGGTGTAAACTGGAATGACTGGGAAACGTGCGCTACGCCAGCTCTGGATCCCTGATTTTGGTGTAAACAAAGGGCTAAATGGGGTGTGAGATGAGTTTAGATGGATCGATAGCACTTGGCAACTTTAACAGCCTTTCCGTGTTCCCTTGAGTTATTTCTGCTGTCACAGAGTGTTCCTCTTTTTAATTAGAATTTTTTAAATATAGCTACTGTAGAGTATTTTACGGTGTGTGAATAAACCGTAACAGAATAATATAATGACGTTAGAGATTATGATTTGCCATTAAATACTATACAGACATCGCTCTGGGTTGTCTTTCCTTTAATTACCAAACCAGTCGAGTTGTCCCATTATCTCCTGTTTATTTTTCTGTGTCCTGTACGCAGATTTTATTTTCCAAGTTTGTTTAAGGGAATTGTGCCAAATACACATTTTTATTGCTGGACTGCAAAAGGAGCGGAAGAATAATAAAATCCAATAACAATATTGTCAGCCCTGGGCAATTCAAAACAATGAATTGTCTCAGTTCTCTCTTCTGTGTCTGTCCTCAGCTTAGAAAAAACAAAGATGAACAGATTAGGTACTTTTTTCCTTCGTGTTTTCAAGTTTTAGAGTATAAATTTCCAAGGTTTTCTATGCTATGACGAGGTCTAGAGCTTCCCCTACACACTAGCAATTGCACCAGCATCCTTTTTTAAGTGAAGACTGCATTTCTCAATACCAAATGCCAGTTGGAGCTCGGAGAATAATGTTAATCGGTGGGTTATTTGATTGTTATTTGATATTTCGTGCAAAGCGGCAATGCCTCAGCTGGGCACTTCGGTGGCAGCCGAGTGGATTCTGCTCCTGACTTTAATAGGAGAAGAATCAGGACTGTTTGTTAGAGCTGTTTCTTAAAAGGGAAACTTAACTGCTTACTGAAAAAGCGGATACGAAAAGCACAAACTTGTTCTTTTCTTGCCAAGAACCGTACAGATTATGTCACTGTATTTATTTAAATCTTGTTTCCATTATTTAGTTTCTCTGCTTTCCCCTCCCTTACCCTGCATCTGGTTCTCAGGCACTCGGGCAGGGCTGGGCTACAAACCCTGTAGGGAAAAGGTCAAACCCATAGAAAAAGATATAATTTAGGGTAATATATGCCCTTATTTCTGAATTATTGATATACAGTTGTCAGTTGTTGATCTGAGGGATCCCTTCGAAACAGCTGATTAGTTTTGCAGGGCTCCTATTTTTAATGAAGCTATGCAGTCTGTAATTTGTTAGGAGTTCCTCCTCCTTGCACACCTGGAGGCAGGAGATTAGACCCTCCCAGCAGCTCTGCAAATGCCACAGGTATTTCCCTGCTCCCAGATTCCAAGCAGACAGACAAACAGACACACACAGCCCTTGCTTGTTTATAGGGCAACTGGTTAGTCCTTCCAGTTTACCACATGTTCCAATATAAATTTTCGGTAGTTTAGCAGGGGTAATTTTCGGATGTGCTTGATTCCAGCACGGAAACCAGCCCAGTATCAGGCTCAAAAATGCATTTGCAGGTGTGCGAAACGTGAGAAGCGCCTCAAACGTGAATGACAAAAAGAATTTGTCGAAAGGGGACCCCCTTCGCTGTTTAAAGGGGCTAAACCTCAATCTATGTGCAGAACCACCGGCTATGCGGGATTATTTTTATTTTATTCCGCCAGACATCGCAATTATTTCTACACAGCGGGCCCGCCATGACACACAGCTCCCTGAGGGGAGGGGCGTGTGTGTCATGGCGGCCGGCGGGCGGACTACAACTCCCAGAATGCACCGCGTGACCAAGTAAGATGGCTCAGAGGGAGGGTGCGGACTACAACTCCCAGCATGCCCCGCGCAGACCAGCAGTAATATGTTTCCGTGTGTTTCAGAAGGACTGCGACTCCCAGCATGCCCTGCGCGCCCACAGGCGTCACTCTTTTGCCCGCGCAGGCGCAGAGCGGGGTGTATGCTGTGAGGAGGAGGAGGAGGCGGCGATGGCGCTGAACAAGAACCACTCGGAGGGCGGCGGTGTCATCGTTAACAACAGCGAGAAGTGAGGTGCTATCCCCTTCTCCCTTCCTCCGGCCGCGGCGGCCGGGGGGTAGCGCGGAGCTGCCTTCTTCCCCCGCCCTCCTCCTGCCTTCCCCCCTCGGGGGGAGCGGCTGTCTGTGGGCAGGAGGGTGGTGAGGGGATGAAAGGGGGAGGTTTAAACCTCTCGGGGCCGGCGTTGCTCGTCCCTCCCCCGTCTCCGTGCGGGTTGCGGGCAGTTACATCCCCCTGCCGCAGGGCCTTGCCGGGGGGAGCTGTGCTGGACCGCGGGCCCCGCAGCGCTCCCCGCAGCATCCCGGCCGTTCCCCCCCTGCTGCCGGCCCCGCTGCCGTGCCCGGGGAGGGCTGGCAGAGCCCAGCTCCCACCCAGGTGGTCCAGGATCCCCCCTCGGGGGTGCTCTCGCCTGCTGCACCTGCACCGTGCCCCGGTTCAGAGGCCCGGCGCGGTTTGCTGGCTCCTGGCTCCGTGTGCTGGGGAAGGAGCGGCAGTGCCGGAGAAAGGTGCCGGGATATAACCATGGAAACGACAAGCCTGCACAGAGCTGCCTCTGTGTGCGCGGCCAAGGGCTGCCCGCGCCCTCTGTCTGGGTCTGACGTGGCAGTCACAGGAGTCCTCTGCCTCGGGGGCGGAGGAGGGAGGGCTTCATCCTTCGGGGCTCCTTTCCATGGGGCCACTTAAGCGTCGGTGTAGGAATTCTGCGCCCGACTTCCCCTTGGGATGTGGCCTCTCCTGGAAGAATTTAGTAAGATCGACTCTGTCGCTTGAATTTGCATTTGCTGAAACAACTGCAGCAGTTTAAAGGTGTTGCTGTCCCCGGCTGTGAGCCTGCCCTGGATCGGGGGCTGCCTGTCCCGTGGCAGCCTGGGCTAATCCAGCTGGAATGCTGCAGTCTGGGCAGACCTGGCCCCTCTGCACTTCCAGAGCTTTTGCTGGAGGGACAGGTACTTGCTGGCAGGAGGCAAAGGCAAGTGATTAAGGATGGACACGTGCCAGCTGCCAAAGATAGAGGTGATGGAGGTTTCTGCAGCTTTAGGGATTAGTCTCTAACGTGGGTGCTGTTGTGTCAATACAAGTTACCTGCTGTGCCCATGCAAGGTTTTAATCAGGCCAGTTTCTACCTGAGAATTCAGGAGTCGGTGCAGGCAACACGGGTTAAGGAGGTCTTGTGGCAAGGAAGGGGGAGTTCCTCTTGGTCACATTTTTGTCACAGACACGCTTGAGCCGTGGTGAGACCTTGAAAAACCAGCATTGCTTAAGCCAGGCTGAGCAGTTCCTGCTCCTGCAGCCCTTCCCCTGTCATGTGGGGAGCTGAATTAGGGAACTGACCCAGCAGAAATGCAACACAACTTCAAAAAAAGAAAAAAAAAAAAAA